TATCTTGCCATGTTTTAAAATTATAAATTAACTTGGAGAAAGATATTATGATCTAGAGGTGATAATGGAATAGCCAGGTTTAAACACACAGTCAAGGAAGTGAGTGTATTCAAATTCGTGGGGCATATAGGTATGCAAGTGAGGTGAAAGAAAATAGAATTGGGCAAATTATTGGACTAAAGTAGTGGGCTGTATGGCAGGTTTTCACAGAACTCTTTAAGTTTTGTCCTCTTGATAATGATGAGAAATGATGTAGTTTGGAAAGAAGGAAGAACAAATGGTATCCAGAGGCATGATAGAGAGGAAGGTTTTTTACAGAGGTCATAGTCCCCAACAAAGATGTGCAAGTTCCCTAATAAAGAGAATATGTTGGACATCCTAGCTTTGCAGTTGTTTACCCTGAGGTTTGTTCAGTGTTCTGCTGAAGTTTTTGTGTGGTTTAGTCCCAGGTGGAGGAAGGAGAAAAAAGGAAGCATAGCTGAATAAATGCTACCTGTATTGAGGGATACCCCTGGGAGTGTAATACAGTCCATGTGAATGGACTGGTCAGAACCACAGATTTTAAGGAGGTACTCTAGGAATCTCTTGTACCAGAATCAAGTTCTTATGTATGAATGACTGAGAAAATTGCTTTTCATAATTAAGAGTATATTATCTGTCACTGTGATATGAGGTGACTGCTTAGTCAAAAGTCAGCTTTAAGTAAATGTTAAACTGCGTTCAAAAGTTTCCTTGGTGTGGATAGATTAAGTGAGATCTAAGTTATCTTTGAGATTAAAATACACAGACGTGAAAAGTTCTGGGTAATTACGCGCTACTGGCTTTTGGGATCTAATGTCTACAGTATCTCTCAGAGCTGAGGCATAAGGCACAAAAATAGTAGGGGGCTCTTTTCTTAATGAAAAGTTTCTGTTAGCTATTTCACATCTCTCGTTGCTGCTTTCAGAACTACAGTTCTGTGTCCTCAGATAGTTATTTAATTTAGATGATTGAGCAAATACTGTGTGGTAGATACCATGAAATACTAAAATTTGAGATTCTTCTCTGAAGCTTATAATCAAGAAAGAGACCTTAGCCTTAAATATTTGTAGCATCAGGTGGATATAGTAAATACAGAGAGATACAGTCTGCACCACTTCAAAGGTAGGAGACAGAGAAATTTGATCATAAGACAAATGGTTGATTTCTACATCAAGCTCAATATCAGAATCAATTTTTTTTTTTTGGTGAGAAAGATCAGCCCTGAGCTAACATCCATGCCAGTCTTCCTCTTTTTGCTGAGGAAGACTGGCCCTGAGCCAACATCCATGCCGATCTTTCTCTACTTTATGTGGGACGCCACCACAACATGGCCTGATAAGCAGTGTGTTGGTGCGCGCCCGGGATCTGAACCCGGGCTGCCAGCAGCGGAGCGTGCGCACTTAACCGCTGCGCCACGGGGTTGGCCCCCAGAATGAATTTTTCTTTTTTGAGATCATTCAAAATGCTGATAATCTTAAATTTTATGTATGTTAAAGTCCTGGTAATGTGACTTTTATGATGGCGAGATATTTTGACAGGGTTAGACAATAAGTCAAGAGTAATTTTTATACCCAGGAAAAATGATGTTAGAAGGCAATAAATATTATGCTGACAAGTTTATGTAAAGGAATGGGGCCATTGGAGAAGAGTGAAGTTACAGTGTAAATTCCCTCAGAGAAGACTATTCTTGTTTTAGTGCTTGAGGTAGATTATAATATGATTACTGCCATTTGATGCAACTACTACAGTATTCCCAGTTGTAAATGACTAAATCCTGAATTACATTAATAAAAGGAAGAAGTTTGATCTGAAAGGCAATTTTATAAGAAAATAAGAATTACAATTAGCTGTACATGAGTACTAAAAATGTACAAAATCTTCTCTTTATTCCAGTGTTAGCATGTATTTTTTACCAAAGGATTGACCTAGTGTGCAGTAGCTTATCTCAGTCAGACCATTCTACATTTTCACTTTTTTTTTTTTTTTTTTTTTTTTACTAAATGACTCACAGTAGATGGAGGTTCTTCTTAGTGTGCAGCACACTCCCATGGCTATATGCAGACTCATGAAATACCAAATTACAAATAATTTTGTTAGAAAGTAAAGCATATATTGCTGAGAACTCTTTTTTTGCAACATTATTCATTAAAGTAATTTAAAAGCGTAAATATTTTAAAAAGCCGTTTTAAAAGCAAATTAATCAAATGGATAATCTCTTTAAAATTGGACTTTTAAATGTAAACATATATTTTATTACTTGTGCTTTTAACTTAGAAATTGTGGATAATTTCAAGCATATGCAAAATAGTGACAGTAGTAAAAGGAACCCTCATGTACACATCATCTAGCTTTCACATATTTCATCTCATGGCCAGTCTAGTTTAATCTGTAAATTCTGTCTACTGCCCCTCTCCCACCTGATTATTTTGAGACATATAATTTCCACGTGTTAGACTTCTGCATGATAGGTAATTCTAATGGGGGAAAAATAAACGTCATTTAGCTTTGCCTACTTGTTGTAATTATAAATGATAGAATTAGAGATTTTTATCATGTCATTAATATTATAACAAATCGCATGTGTTTTATGAAACTATTAGTGACTTTGAGTTGTATCTATATATAGTCCGTATTTCTCATCTGATTCTCTGCTTACTAGAGAAGCTTTTGAGTTTACTATCTTGACCTCAGATTCAGTGTGACTAAACCCAAATAATCAGCTTTGAAATTGGTTGTGCTAAACGTTACCCTTCCTAGCATCTATTTCTAGCAGTTTTATTCTCATTTATTCAGTTAGAGACTTTAAGTGATAGAATCATACTGTACTTTAGAAGAGTTTACTTTATAATAGAATTTTGTCTTGGGTTGGTAATTTAAAATGCTAAAAGGAACTGTTGTGTTTGCGTTTCAGTGCCTAACAAAGCAATGGCCCTAACTGGTTTTCAGAACCATACAGATGGATAGATACTTTCCGGATTTTCTCAAACTTTTGATAGTTTTCATGGCTTGTTGTGAAAGATAAGGTCGATAACAAATTTTAATATAATGTAATTTTATAGAATTTAAGGTGATCTGACCTTAGTTATCATCTAGCTGAACCCTTCTTGTTTTCTAAATGACTTATTCTAGCCTAATATATTTTAAATAGGGAGTTGTAACAATTAGAGGAGCATGATCAAAATTTTTTTGTAAGTCAAAGAGAATAATGTAAACTGGAATAGAAAATACAATGTTCCTTTTGTAGAGTATTATTTCATTAAACTTATGTTTATGTGTGCATGTGTGTGTACTGCATCATGATGTAAACTGTATTTATTATGTAAGTCATGGTCCAAAAAGTTTGAAAGCCATTGCCTTTGGTCACTAATTCATTTTTTAAATTGTAAGTATTTAATCAATACCTACTAATTTCCATATTGTTTCTCTAGTTCTGTTGAAGTGGATAATGGTTTATAAAAATAAGTAAAGGCCCGACTTAATGAATTCCAGGATACAATTAGAAGAGAGATACATGTATAAAAATAATTGTAATATTGTGACAGACTTACTAATAACATATGGGCAAAATATTGTGAACACGTGGGCTGGAACAATGACCTGTGGCTGGAGAAATTGGAAACAGTTACATAAAGGATTTGGTATTTTTGAGCAATCTTGAAGTTTTATCAGTTGCTTCAGAAAGGAAGTGTTCTCCAGAGGGAAAAGTATGGAGAATACTACCAATACTGAGCTCTAAAATCACTCTCTCCGTGAAGTCTTGCCCCTGATTCCATTTCCTGGACCTCCAGTTCCTCAATTAGGAATCTATCCATCTTTATATCTTTCATTCTCAGAAGTTTTACTTTTTCCCATGGCAGTTTGTCCCTACTAGAAACTCTTGCTCAATACTTGTTAGTTGAAGGGGAGCAAATGAATTCAAATTATATATGTACAAAACTTATTATTTCAAAAATGTTTATTATGGAAACATTACTAAAGTATATTAGTTAGAGAACCAATTAAGGTGCTATATATACTAGAAACTTCAGAACACAGGGTCTCAAATACAGTTATTTTTTATTCACTCTGAGGTAAGTGAGCTCTACCCCTTGAGGTTATCCAGCTACTCTGACTAGTGGGACAGGTTTACTATCCTTAATATATGGCTTCTGTTGCCAGGAGGAAGATGAGAAGGGGGAGGATTTAAGGCAAGCCACTTCGTTTTTAAGGCTATGATGTAGAAATCCTACATCATTGCTAGGCATATTCCATTGGTCAGAACCTCTTCACGTGGCCACACGTAGCTGAAAGAGATACTGGGAAATCTAATCTTTAGCTGGGTGGGCATGTGCCAGTGAAAACTGGAGGGATGGTTAGATAATACTAAAGGGCAAACAGAAAGTGGATACTGAGTGAGTGGGGAGGGGCAAATAGACAACATACATGTGGCACAAACCTAGAGGGATATTATTTTAAAATAAATCATTCCTATCATCCTAAGAAATTAGTGGCTTTCATTTTTCTAAAATTTCTCTCGATTCTTTATATGTATTTGTAGTTTGTACACTTGTCATAGTATTGGTATTTGTTTTCTTCACTTAGCCTTTTCTGAGCCTCAGATTATTTGTTTGTTTGTTCTGTGAAAATGAAAGAATTAAATGAGAACCCAATGTCTGGCACATAGCACCAGTTGGTAATCACCATGTCTTCTGTTTTTTATTAAACAATTTGTTTTGAAAATTTTAGTGTATCTATAGGTTTTTTTTTTTTAAAGATTTTATTTATTTTATTTTTTCCCCCCAAAGCCCCAGTAGATAGTTGTATGTCATAGCTGCACATCCTTCTAGTTGCTGCATGTGGGACTCGGCCTCAGG